TCCTGTTATGAAGAAAGTAATGAGAAAGAAGATGGAAACCCACATATGAGGCTTCAGAGAATGCATTAATTGAAATTTCTTATTTATATGAAGAAAGTAGAAGGAATATTAAGAGATAACTTTAAAATACCAGATATAGAGAGATATCTATAGTACTTGCTACTTCAGAGAAAACAGAACTGATAATTTATTTTGTGGATATCTGAATGATTGCTTCTTAAATGCTCTAAGAGGACTAAGCAAGCAAACTGGCATTTTCAAATAGAAGTATGTCATCACCACTTGCACTCCCAAATATCTCTGTCAAATTAATGCATTTCCATTTGCTAGAGAAAACCACTAGTCTCACCTACGCTCAAAAATGGACTGTAGAAGAAAAGTTTTAAGCTGGTTGTATAGAGCTTCATAGAGGCTTCCCAGTTTTTGCTGCCTGCCTAGATGCTGCCTCCTGCACTCCCTTTCATGGGACAATATTGTGTTAGCATTCCTTAAGCAAATTAATTCAGTTTACAGTTTTTAACTACTAAGACTCAATATAATATTACCAAAAACGAAGCTAAGAATGGCATAGTAAATAATGTAAGACCTCTTAATTAATACCCCTTAAGGCATGCATATTGCAGTTCTTTTGAGGGGTAAATAAAAATGCAAGGTATTCCTCTTACTTTCATTTTTTCAAAACTAGATCTTATGCCAGTTCCATTTCACAAGAAAGGCTGTACCTGTCCAAATCAGAAGTTTTTACAAAATGTCCTTCTGAAGAGATTTTTCCTGCTTTGTCATCTCTTTATTATGACTTCAACTGCTTTAGTAAGACTAAATCTGTAGGAATCCCATTAAAAAAAAAAAAAAAAAAGAAAAAAAAAAGGAAACAAAACCAAAACAAACAGAAACCCCCAGTATTCTGTAAATTTATCCTATGTTTCCAGTCTGAAAACTGCAAAACAGAAAATATCTATTTCTCATTCTCTTTTTGTTTGTTTTTAACCTGTACACCTGAAACTGCAGAAAAGGCTAAATGCATGACTGAGAAGATCCCATCATCCCCAGCCTAAGAACAAAATATGTCCCATAAAATGCTGCAGACAGTTGTATGCTTGAGGACATTGCAACAGCCAGGAACCAGACTGAACTATTTTCAGTAATTGCAGTAGATCACAACATAGAAGTAACTCAGAATACACACTAATAGAAATATATTCTATTTGTTAAGTGAGGTAAAGTGGAAAATTTCTGTGTAAAACTGTCTTTAAAAGTCATTATATTTATATGATGAGCTAATTTGGTTCTATTGTCTAGTGTGCTTCAATTTAACTTGTCACTGCAAGTCTCTTTTTCTTTTGTTTACTGAATGACATTTTCCACTGAATAATGAAATCCATTTTGAAACAGAAAAAGGTGAAGTGCTGCTAGTAAAGTCACTCTAGCATTTATCAGAAACATTAGTATATTTTTATTAGTAGTACCAAAATACTGTGAAGGTTATTATTTCTTTAGAGTACAGATTGTAGTGCATCACATTTCTCAGTGTTTATTACACAGGATTACAATATATTTCTTCCTTATCAAATGAAAATTTTGCACACAATCGGAGTCTGAAAGATGCAGTAATTCCATTCAACCATAGATTTACTCTTTATCTGATGAATTCTCCCCTTATAATTAAGTTGTCATAGCAATGTATTTTTAATAATATTGATTCATGTGTCAGTAATGTTCTGGAGACAGAGCTCTTGATCCTTTTTTAGTACTCAGTGATGCTAAATTGTAACTTTAACAAACACACAAGTGCTGGTATACTTAGGCTGGCAGAAGAACATCTGATCAGACTTAGAACAGCCCAAAGCCAACCTGACATAGCTAACCAACAGAAAACGACATAAAATATTGGCTCACCTCAAGAAAGTAAAGGCAGATCCTACACTTGTTTTGTTTTAAATGTTAATATTTAATGATTAAAAAACACTAAATGATTACATGTTACTAGGCAGAAAGAAAAATTTTGGATTTTCTTCCAAAGGTGTTGCTCTTGTTTACTGGAGAATAAGCACTGATAATCGAAAATCACAGTACTTTGATGATGCTGTTTTAGCATATCTTCCTCTCTGTATTTTTAATAAATCAATTAAATTACACATATTTATAAGGTTTCAAAATAACAAGAAATCATCCTCCAAGGACTAGGACTGTATGTCCTAGCTATTTCTAAGGCACTGATGGCAAGTGTCTGCATGCACCAGTCTGTGAGAGTGAGACATGAATAATGAGCAAAGAAAATTGCCTGATATTTCATTCCTTTTTTAATTCAGAATGTGAAGAATAATATGCATTACACGTTAGTATCAGGTAAAATGTAAGTGAATCAGAGAGAGCTGATGAAGAAATGGTGTTAGGTTATTTTCTGAAGCTAGAAAGAAGAAGAAAATAGAAGAAAGAGAGATTCTTGTCCTCATGTCTCTCTAGAAAGGATAAGGCTTAAATTTTGAAGTGTTGTTTGAGAAGAGCATTGCATAGCACATACCCTCTAAATGCTCCTTCAAAGGGTTGATGAAGGGGAAAGCATATTGTGAATGCAATAACTGACCTAACTAATGTCTTAATGAAAATGTGTATTGATTTGGCTATGAGGAACACTTAGCCTCTAAATATATAAATGTAAAATGGTAATTGTTCACGCTGCAGTTTCTGACCTTCCCTGGATGATGTGAGAAACACACCTGCTTAAGCCAGACTCTAGAAGCTTGCAAGCAAGGCAAAGGTGAGCAAGAACTATAAATTTAACATACAGTAAATGTGCCTGTTTCATATATACAGCCCAAGGGTCTAAAATTAAACCAAAACCACCGGTTTTTCTGACTGAAGTACGGTGGAAAACTAACAATGGCAAAGATATTTCCTAAGGGAACTGTGGAGTGATAGAGGTAAAAAGTGACTAAATGACTCAGCAGAACTTCTTCCCTCTCATTTCCTGGTACATGCATTTTTTCCTTAGAATCAAAGTTAATCTTACACTTTGAGTGTCTAGGAGAAAAAGTGGAATATGCAAGCTGAAGCCAGCATACAAACTAGGACTTCCTAGAAAATAAATATAGTAAAAAATACTTGCATATATGCATTAATAAGTGCATATATGTAATATATGAACGTTTACTCTTTATTTAGAATGCAATGTAATTAGATAGATAGATAGATAGATAGATATTTTCCTTAACAGTTCTAAGCTTCCTCTTCTATGAATTTCTGGCTATTGCTGCTTTGTTCTCCAAAAAGTACATCTTTAAAATTAATCGAAATTACACACTTAATGAAGGGATCAGTAGTTTATAATGTAGTCTCAGACTAGTTGGACAATTAGGTCCTTCTAATAAGGGCCTATTACCAGATGAGTGCAGAAGATGCTGAACATGGCTGGGGTTATTAATTTCACATGACCAGGGTTTCTTCTGCAAAGCCTCAGGTCTAGTGGCAGACCTGGTCTGCATCTGGCCTGTACGTACAGGCATAATCTGCAGGTAGTACGTTTTTACACAACACCAAAGTAGCAGCAGTCAACCAGGTTAACTATCTGGTGAACACATATCAAGAACAGCACAACTCTTTCCTGGTCTAAAAGGTCATTTACAGTACACAGGCACAACCACTTCTTGTTGGCTTTTTTCCAAGAATTTCCTGATTTATTTTTATTCTTTTTTTAGATAAGGAATATGACTTCTTCAAGAATATCCTCCAGAATATTAAATATCTTCTGGTAATCCTCTGTGAATTAAGTGCTATTGGCTGGACTACAGTCATTGGCAAAGTAGAACTAAAAGATGAGAGATTCTATAATAATTTCTGGTTACTGGAAAATGTGTGCACTCATGGGGGAATGTGGTACTTATTTAGGCCATGAAGCATGTTTGACATTAAATATATGTAGAGTTAGGAATGGTGGTCAGTCCACACTCAAATCCTGAAGACTTACAGCCTTGTAACTGATAACAGAAGCATGCTGAGGTTAAGTGAAAGTTGTACGATTTTCCAGGTTTCTAGTCTGTGTTTAATGAACACGGCCTAATTTACTTTTTTTTTTTTTATATATATATTCCTAAGTATAGGGGATTAACTGTTGCTATAGGATACTTCTAATTTAGTTCCTCGCTGCTAGGCAAAATCTCTGCAACATTTTGAATTAAAAAAAAAAAAAAAAAAAAAAGAAAAATGCACTATATTTCTGTTTTACTTGTGTTCATTTTCACATAGTAAAATGTCTCTTAATAGTAGCAGAAATAGTGACTCTGGATCAGCTGTAAAGAGTGAGCTGTGGTGGGAGGCTAGAGAGCAATAACACTCTAACTAGTTACATAATGCACTTTGAACTTATCAGTTGCTTCCTATAGAGCTGCTGAGGTATCAGAAGAAAAAGCATACTCACTTTTCCACATGAGCACCCACAGCAATACAGACAGCATCAGGTGCATACAGCTGTAATGCAAGTATATTTATCTCTACACAACAATAACACATGGAGAGAGAGAGACAGGGGCAAACCTTTAGCTGACTGCAACAAATATCTTTACAAATATGATTGCATTGTCTATATGGAAAAGGCTTTTTTGGAGATCTGAGATTGGACAAGTACGAAAGAAGGTGTTGAGCACTCTCAGGGAACCTGATTGCCTATATGTTTTTAGGAAGATGTAACAGTTAAATTTGACTGCTTCATTCTGTAACACAGATGCTCTCTCAGGCAAGTTTAAAAAAAAAAATATATATAGTTTCAGATACCATAGATCTCAGTATTGTATTGATATGTTACATTAGTGCATAGGAATAAACTAATGTCAAACAGTAAAATAGTGAACAGAGGTGTTCTAGTAAAAAGAAAAGTGAGAAGGAAAAAGACTAGATATTTTAAACAATTTGTTTGTTATTATAGCCCAAGGCTTTTTGTGATTCTTTTCTGGCTGCAATAAAAATTATATGAAATATTTAAAGTGTGAAGAGGCAATTTTACTTACTGTTTCCTGGATGCCAGCGCACTGCGTTTAAATATGCATTACAGTAATGGAAGAGAAACTCGTGCTTGGATCGGGTAACTTTTCCTTGAAGTAAGGGCATCAGATCACGACCATCAATAATTCTGAGAAAGAAAGGATTTCAAAATCAGAAGAATAACACAAATCTCACTTTGCTGGGAAGATATTATCATTCTGCACGTCTACTACTTAAAAAAATAAATCTGAATGGCCACCTTCATTTGGTCAATCCAGAGAAAAGTCTTCAGATGCTTTTCACTTGCATTTTTACATTATTTAAGGAAACCTTAATTTTATATTTTGCCATGAGGAATCGTCATTTCCTCAATTAATCATAAACTTTTTTTTTTTCTATTTTTGAGAAAGTGACCAGACAGATGTGAATAAATTGCTACAACGCAGGCCTCCAGGTGTAACTGTTCAAGCTGTTTGGGAGTAGTCTAGTCAAGCTAACCCTAAAACAAGAGAGGTGTTGTTCTCTGTTAGCATTCCCAGAAGTAATGGGAAGAACTCTGTCTAGGAAATTGTAGATGTCAGAATTTAAGACAGAAGTAGTAATTTCAAAGTTCAAAAAGAATGATATTTAAATATATGTTTATCAACTACACACACACACAGAGACATACATATATATAAATTCTCTAAGTGGTGCTACACAGTTTTCATCACACTTTGAAGGAGAGGCAGACAATTTACATCAAAAGGGAGTTATAAAATAAGCAAGGTATTTAAATGTTTCTATAAATTAAGCCTTTGAATCGCTGGAATCAGCTGGCAGGGGAGAAATAACAATCTGCATATTTAACCTGGTGTGAATTACAAATTTTACAAGACGTTTTACAGGAAATTACTTTCTGCTGATATACAGATCAGCAGGCAATTCTGTTTTAAGCACCATGAGCAACGTCTCATAAAAACATCTTAAACTTTCAAAAAAGGTCAAAAATGTCTATGTGATTTTTCTTACCATATAATATTGTTTTCATATTAGGGCAACTACAAGACAGTTACTAACTTTACTTTTTTAAGTCATGAGCTACGTATGACTACGAGAATTTTTGCAGCAATTGTATGCAACAGCACCATTCTGAGTAGGACCTTTCTGAAAGGATGGGCAGGAAAACATACTAAAACTTCTAAAACTATGTTGTCAATTAACTCTGCTTTCTAGGTGCATCTTTATTTGTGAGGGTCTGTGGAATTAACTCTGCTTTCTAGGTGCATCTTTATTTGTGAGGGTCTGTGGAATTAAAGTCTTTCCCACTTCCTATCTTGTTTTCTTGCCCAAGTAATGCACTCTTCTCTTGCCGTTGCAGGCTTGCCGACTTTCAAGTTGAGAGCAGGACAGATGCATGTCTATTGTATGCACTCTGTTCTACAGCCTGTTGATGGAGAAAAGGTCATTTCCAGCAATATGTCTCCAGTACTCCAGCATTCCCACAACTGCTGGTTTCAAGGGACTTTATGAGACTTGCCTTTGTGATGACCTATTTTTCTTCTTCCACTAGCAGCATCTCCTCCTCTCCTTTTTAACCTTCCTCCCAGACTGAATCCTAATTGCAGTAATTTCTCTTATTTCTCAGCAATAATTCAGTGGAGTGATAAGAATTCATCTGCTGGATGGAATATGTTTCAAGCTAGTCCATGATCTACCATGAAGCAGTAGTTATTGCACTGAGTCTATACAAACGAATCAGAGTGGAGCAACCTGCCAGCAGAAGTTACACAAGTATATTGGGATTTCTATCAGAGATCAAAATAAAACATCAGTGTTTAGTCTTCACTCAAGCAATACGAAAACAAAGTGCCTAAGATGTGCCCACATTAAGAGCAATATGAACTGCTTAGGTTCAACAGAGGTACTGCTTGTAGGGGATCTCTCGGGACCAGCCTGCCTAATTTTTCATGTCTTACACATGTCCTGCTTTGCCATTTCCTTCAAGCACTCAATGAATCATCATTAGCACAGTGTCTCTGCTCCCCACTGTTTTTTCCCCACATGGATTCTGGATACTTTGTACTCAAAAGCCGTTTGTGTATGCTAGATGTGTGCAAAGCACACACATATATCAGCAGCTTTCTCCACTTATTTGATCTGGACGGCAACAGAGTTTAGGTGGAGGAACCCTGCTGCTGAGACTGGGTACCTCCTGACAAAACAAAGCACAGAGATGTAGGAGCACCAATAAAACATCTTATGAATTTTAGAAGTCCAATGGGTTTTCTTATCAGGCTGCAAAACTCTGTAAGGGATTATTTTCACAGTCAACAAAAACACCTGTGAGAAAAGCCTAGCTAGCATTTTGATGTGTTTTGTTGCACTAAGCAGACCAAGGCTGAGCTCAGAAAGTTTAAAATAAAACACTTGCAGTTCCTTTTTCTACCATGCTCACTCATACAGAACAAAGCCTTTTTTGGTATATTCATTATTCCTTTTAGTAAATAATTCTAGGCCTGATTTGACAATATGTTGCTCTTGGTGGTATTCTCTTGTTGCTGGTGCTTGTTTGGCAGTTAAGCTGTATTTACATACAACATTTCTGTAAAATAGATCAGTATATCAATATGAAAAGTGACAACAGATTAATGTAAGCAATAACACAAAAAATTCACCTCTATCTTAATAAATATTACGAGAATGTACAAAATACTCATGAGGCTTTCACTGAAACAGAGATTACTACAGAACATACCTGTCAGAGGGCAACTGTGCCTTGGCAAGTTTGACTACGGTAGGAAATATATCCATGTTACTGGTTGGCTCATCAACATAAGCACCAGCCTGTATCACTCCAGACCAACGGAGAAGCCCTGGCACACGAATGCCTCCTTCCCAGTTCATTGATTTTCCACCTGAAAAATCAAAGATTTGTTTGCTAAAAAATCAATTTCCTCTTAGAAAAATAACACCCTGCAAGAGTCAATTTCCAAATATGAAACATTCTGCCTAACTGCAATCTTTTTGTTAAATGTATTTATCTTATTTTTAATTTGCTAGGTTAGATTTTCCACCTACATCACTACCTTTTTTCACAATAAATCTATTACAATGCATTAGACAGAGCTTACAAAATTTATTTAGTTTACAAACAAAATTAAATAAGAGCTTGAAGTGCTGGGGTTAAACCCCCAGCCGTGAGTGAGAATTGGCATATGGATGATGCTCACAACCAGGGCACTTCTGATTGTTTTTCTCACAGGGTCTGCCCAGCCTTGGGTAGGAACTGATTAGGAGATCACCATCAGGTGCTCCTGCCTTCCACATTAACTTGGAGGTGGGGCAAGAAACCACCTCTATAAGAACTGACTCTGCTTAGTGTAGTTGTGTGGTTTGCCTGTACAGTGGATGTGTTGTGCCTGCCTGGTTTTCCCTACTAAGGGCTCCCTAACTCTTCATAGCAAGTGGAACTCCCAGGATGGTGGGGCAAGATGATTGCACTGATCAGTTGGGTCCTTCCATCTCCCATGGTGTGGTTCTGGAGTCAGCTTGCTCTCTTCTGCACACGCTATGCTGTGAGTGAAAGCATTGACTTATTCCTCCCTCCAGAGGTCTGGCATGTTGGATTGTTGGTGTATGATTTAAGAGTGGAGAAAGGACTTTGGCTGCTGGTTTGCCCATTGATGGCAATATCCTATGTTGGGCAAGTGGTCAGAAGAAGATGGCTGCGGTAGATAAAAGACACCTTGCAGGAATCTTTGTATAGAATTTGGTCTGCAAAATGTACCACATAGCTATGTAGAGTTATAACCAAAAAAAAAAAACAAAAACAAAAACAAACCCACAGGAATTGAAAATAAATTAAGATATGCCAACATGTCTGAGGTATGAACCCAGAGAAGATACATGCTATTGCATGAGAAAAGGTGCTTAGTGACTTCAGATAGAAGAGATTGCTCATTTAAGTGTGTTACTGAATTATCCAGTGCATTAGGAAGAAATTTGTTACAAGTTATAGTAGATCAAGACCTTTTTCACTTCTAAAACAACATATTTGTATCAAATGCACTTGGCATTCAGCACTACACTGCGGCCATTTCCTTTGCTTCTACAATATCTATCATTGCTCAATTCTCCCAATATCTTTGCAGAAGAGCAATGTGTTTATTCTATGACATTTCCACCATTACTTAATATATGATTGACACAACTCTGTAATATTAATGTCTTACACAGTCATGTGATTAAGTTCAGGATGATCTCTGAAATTAGTATATCATTTGGAATAAAATATTTCTGCCAAACAGGGTTTGGATGTGGTTAAGCATGATCTGGGTCAGGCAGTTGCAACTAAATTGAGATTGGTTTATATAATAGAAATGTCTGAAAGTAGAGTTGAACCCCTGCCATTAACTGAATCAAACTGCAATTCATAGTTCAGACAAAACTACTATGAACCCATTTTTCCTGTATCTCCCTTTTTAAAAATAAAAAAAAAAATCCCACAGAAGAACAAAATACTACAATGATGTGCTTCAACAAGTCTGTCTCCTCAGCCTCTCAGACCTTCAAAACACCATTTAGATGTTAATATCTCAGTGTCAAGCCCAGGCCTTGCCATACATTCTGTCTAACTTACTAACTCCTCAATGATCTCTTCTGTTTCAGCACTGGGGGATTAAAAAACCAGCTGCCCTTCTACAGATTTTTTACCTGCTTAATAAGGATTTCTACAGGTTTTTCACTGTTCACAACGGTAAGTGGCAACTTCAAGAGACAATACCCTCTTTTGCATAGATCTTTACCTATTATATATAGTCTTATGGCTGAAAAAACCTTAGCTTATGATTATTTACTTTTTTATTTGCTTACATTTTCATGGGCTTTCTCAGAATACCTAATAATGGATAGTCAGGGAAAAAAATCTCTAATCTGACATCAAAAAACTTAGACTTTCTGATATCCAACATTATATCAAGCAACAATCTTTGCTTAAGTTGTTTTTGGAAAGCAAGTTCACATCTCAAAAGGACTATCTGCCTTTAAAAATCTACTCGTCACTGTAAGAAATGCAACTCCATTCACATGATAAAGCATGTGGCTACCTATTCTAAAACTCAGGAATTAGATGCATAGATTATTTTTGTTTACATTCTTGTAGAAGACATGATTTTCAAAACAAAAATCTAAGGAAAGTTTAGATGTCGGTTCATAACGGTATTACTCAGTGAGATTTAAAACACCTGTCACCTAGCAGAAGGAAGTGTTCACACAACAGCGTGCTCTTTGGTTGTTAATACAATTGGGTTGAGACAAATATAAATCTCAATTGAATGACTGACTATCCATGTACAACAGTCGCTAGGATTTTAAAAGTTTAGTGGGGATTGTGTGTTACATAGCAGGAAAGTGTCAAGATTAATATTCTGACTGAGTTCTGGGTCACAGAAAATCCTGTTGAGTGGGAATAGCTAAATCTCAAGAAAAATACAAAAAAGTAGGTGGACATAAAATTACAGATGAACTCAAAAGTGTTTTCAGTGAAGATTTATGCCAGGGGGGATGATCTAGCTCATGAGCCATATCCTAGTTCTGTGTACACAGCAGCTCGCTGGCTGGACAGTATGGACACAGAGAAAACTACAAGCTGACCTATACCATAGCTGATCTAGGCAGCTGTAAGTGTGAGGTTCCTTTGACTTCTACATACCTGTCTGAACCTAGTGACAGTACTAGCTAGATCAGACTGTTTAAATAAATTCTCATTTTACTGTTGCCTCCTGTGCAATCTGAAGACAGAGCAAATTCAAGGTAAGTGCTGCACCCCATTCCCACTCATTTAAATTCTTAAAACATAGATACTGGATCTCTTTCACAGCTCCTAGGCTCACAGTGCATTTTCCCTGAATCACTACAGAACAGGACAGAAGACTTGCACATTACCCAGGCACAAAGAGAGAACTCACAGACTCTGCCTCCCTGCTGTGAGGTAGGAAAAGAAAAGTGCACTCCACAGCAGGGCCATCTCCTCGACTGTGGCTATGAAGAAGTAATTGCTGTTTTCCTTTCAAAAACCTAATTGGAGCATAATTTTTTTATATCTCTGGAGGTTAGGAATAGCAGGGAACCAGGGCAGGAATTACAGGCCGTTGGAAGACTGTCTTCTATTATCTATGCCTATGTGGTGTTCATCTCTATTAGAACTGTGTTTAGTGACATCATTAGAGTTAATGGCTTAATGCCATTATATGATTACAAATCCCTTGATATACATTGTTTTTAAAGCTCTAGCTGTTAAACACTGTTTAAGCTAGCTGCATTCTTTTTTCATTAAAAAACAAGGTTTCACCACTAATGCTTGAACCATGAAGCAAATATTCACAACTAAAATATAACAAGGAAAACTAAAAATCCACAAAAGGTCATTATTTAAAATTAAATTCTCTTGATATTTTAGGATCTGATTCATTAGTTTTGTATTTTGCTTGGACTTGACAACACTGAAACAGAGGAAAAGGAGCAACCTAGCAGTCTGTATGCCTGGTAAATTCTAGGCAGTTTAGCTACATGTTATTTTTGTTCTAAATTCTTCTAAAAAGGTTTTTGAAACAGCATAAACCACCCCAGGCTGTATTTTCATCCTCAGCTATCTATGCTTTCTGAGTAGTTGCACCCTTCAGAGTTATATTGAACAACAGCCTATATTCACCCTTCCTGAAAAATCTACAGGAGCTGGCAAAGTACAGACATAACTCTGCAGTCATCCTCAACATGTTTTCAAATTTCCATTTTAACTTCATTTCAAATCTCAGCTAAAAGATTCCCTCTTCTTTTTTTCCCTCTGGTTTAAACTGACTACTATTAACTAACTTTGGGAATAGTACTTTTACAAAGGCTGATAAATAAAGGGGAACTCTGTGGTATATTATTAACCCTATTTATTTTCTTGAATGATAGAAAAATACAATGAAATTAATTATTCTACCCACCTGTAGTGGACTTCATGCTACAAATACAAACAATCAAAACTTCTTACTATTGCTTACTTTATAAAATGATCAAGTAATTTATTTTCTATGGCAAGTTCACTTTTTATTTTATTTTTTTTTTATACACCTCATGTACTGCTTCTGTTAATTTTCAACCTGAGCTGTTCTTGTATAGGTGACTAATAGATATAGCTCATCTGGACACCTTCCCATCTGGCCTTTCTTCAAATCAAACGAAATAGTCTCTCAGGATATTTTCAGATTCAGTCAAAATTACAAGATGGGTTGACTATTTAAAAACCTGAATCACTTCATAGACAATCTAAAAATACTGTACATTTGAAAAAAAGGTCAACTCTGGCTCTCATTAAAGTTGAAAGTGAAACTACACCTAATATCACTAAATATGCAACAGCATAATTCCTGAGGCCAAAATAACAGTCAGCTTGATTGTTTTGTCTATAGCTTACAGATAGGAAAATGTTTACTAATAGCTTCAAGAAACACTGCTGAATGAACTTATCACTGCTGTATATAAAATTGTATAAAAATTTTAAAAAACATAAAATATTGGACAACACAGCCCTTATTTCACTCTCACAGGCCTGTAGTAGGCTTAAAGAATTAGGGTCTAGGTCCTTAAGAAATATTTATTATTATTTTTCATGGACATTAACAAAGTAACCATGAATATACCATTTTCTAAGGCACAAAGCACTTTAAAATGATTATTGTTCAAATGGTTTGTCATTATCAGTGCTTGACTCCTTTTCCATTAGTAGCAGAACTCGTGACCCACTCTAGCAGCATGACAGTAGCCAAGTGCACTGTGTGAAACGCTTCATAAATACAAAGAAAGACAATGTTTTCTAATGCACAGGTCCAAGGTACAGGCAAAATATACTTGGCTAGGTACCCAACAGAAG